GGGGGGGGGAACCCAGCCTGGGCAAAGTCGCACTGCAGCCTACAGGGAAAATGCTTATATATGGACAGGTATGTCTGGGTTTCTGGAATGTAAGGTGTCTTCCTGGTTCCGGGTGTACTCATGCCAGGTGCAGAGCGGCAGGCTGAGAACAAAGCGGTCACTGAACAAAACGGGCCATGAGTAAAAGAAAAAAAAGCCTTGCAAAGCTGCTTTACATTAGCCAGCTCTGGTCAGCTCCGCAGGTGTGTGTGGGAGATTCAAGGTCCCTCGCTGCTAGGGGTTTCAGCCAGCTCTGGTCAGCTCCGCACGGGTGGGAGAGATTCACGGTCCCTCGCTGCTAGGGGTTTCAGCCAGCTCTGGTCAGCTCCGCACGGGTGGGAGAGTCAAGGTCCCTCGCTGCTAGGGGTTTCAGCCAGCTCTGGTCAGCTCCGCACGGGTGGGAGAGATTCACGTTCCGGCCACACAGTAGGGACCTTCCCAGGATCCCGAGGGAGCCAGCGAAGGGACGGAGGGCCCAGGGCCCTTCCCTGCCATCGAGCAAGCAGAGCAGGCCCTCACCCTCAGGTGCACAAGGACTCAAGACAGGGCTGGGGATACTGCCAACTGCTAGCATCCGCCTGCTCGCTCTGCAGTGGGCTGGAGACAAACTGAGGGAGCCTGGATGCTGGGGTTGGGGCCAGGCACCGCGCTCATAGGAGGGACAGGGAAGGAGACCCTTTACCCTAGCAGAACAGAGGTAAGCAGCCCCCTGGCACAGTCTCCAGGACAATTGGTTGAGCAGAAGCAAGCTCACCAATTGAGAGCCTTGCTTAGCCATGTCTCGAGTTAGGGTGCGACTAAGCACCCCTGACTACGATTGATCGATTGGGTTTCTGAAACACAAGGCCCACGATGCCCTGAAGAGGAAGGCAGACCCCAGACCCTGCTGCTGACCAAGGGACCAGCCCTCTGGGGACACCACGGGCTCACCCTAAGCTGTGGAGATGCGCTTTCCATGCAGCCTCCATGACCCCAGAGGTCGTGGGAAGGGCACGACTTCGAACTAGAATCTGGAGGTACGCCTTCTTAGCTCTGGAATACTGACAGACTCTTCCTTTTCCTGGGCCTGTTGGCTCGCTCGCTCCCCAGTGGGGCCCTAGCCAAGTCCCCAGCTGTGGACAGCAGACAGACAATGGGGGGGGGGGGGGCACCTGGAGGCCAGCTGCCGCTGGAACTGATAGGGAAAGGAGTATCCTTTGAGCCTGAGTTTGAAGCAATTGGGTTGAGGGGCTGGAAATACTGAAAAGCTCCTTCTTGTGATGCCTGTAGCACCGGGGGTTCGAGGCCATGGGATGGCACCGCAGCCTCCGGTCTGTGCTCAGAAAAAACGAATTTGACACATGGCTCGGAGCAGGCACTCCGCCCCTGGGGGACACTGGGCCTCTGTTTTAACAAAGGGTTTCCTTCTATCAAGGTGCCCTGCTGGCAAAGCGGGGTAACATTGCACCCTCACCAAAAGGTCAGCCACCGGAATCCCTGGAGACGGGTTGCTGCTGCACAGAGTGACAGCCCGGGCACCCAGTGGTGCAGGCACTCTTCCCTGGAGAGGGGGGTCCACTTTAAATAAGAGGATTGCTTCCACCAGCTTTAAGTATTGGCATGTAAGCTCTGGGTTCTTTTTGGCTGGACTCTGAGCTCTGGACAGATAGGGAGGTTGAGGCTAGCCTGCAGGGTGCACCGGGGAAAGACCAGAAGCCGGGAGGAGCAGCTGCCCGCAGCACTCCTTAGTGGGGCGCATTCTGCGGACAGCCTAGGGGCGTGATGTGGAGGGGCCAGAGCAGCCCGCTAGGAGATGGGGTGTCCTGTGTCCGCAGCACTACCACCTTCAATGACCAAGCAGAATGTGGTGAATGAAGGTCACCTTAGCATGTCACCTCCTAGGTTGTGCGGAGGAACAAGGGAGAGAGGGAGCACAGAAGCCCTGGGCCTGCCACCCTGTGCACGCAGCAGGACCAGAGGACCGGGCCATCCTTCGGGGTAGGGGCACAGCTCAGTAGACTGACTGCAGCAGGACGTGCGCACTGCGCCTCCCACAAACCATCCCCAGACTGCTGAAAGCTCCTAGGGCAGGGCCCTGGGTTTTGCCATGAGCCCCCTTGCTCTGCCCTCCTCGCTGCCAGCTGTGCCCTGCGCTTTGGTGCCATCTGCCCTGGCCGTGGGAAAAGCGTGCTCTCAGCCCAGGGAACTTCACTCTTGCTGTGAGCCAGTACCCCCGCCCCCAGTGGGGGTGGTGGGGAGGCTGTGTCCCTGGCTGAGAGCAGGCCAACCCTGGCTGGCGCCCTGCCTCCTCTTTGGGACGCCTCCGCCGCTGTGGGCCCCCCTCACTCCGGGCATCGTGTAGTGATTGTGTTACAAACCTTGGTCTCCGTGGAGGTTTACAACTGACCGTGTCGTGTCCGCCCCGCAGTTCCTGGCGCAGTTAAAGCTCATGGACTACAGCCTCCTGGTGGGCATCCACGACGTGGAGAGAGCTGAACAGGAGGAAGTCGAGTGTGACGAGAACGGCGGGGAAGAGGAGGGGGAGAGTGACGGGACCCACCCGGTGGGAACCCCCCCAGACAGTCCTGGAAACACACTCAACAGCTCTCCGCCCCTGGCGCCCGGGGAGTTCGACCCCAACATTGATGTGTATGGAATAAAATGCCATGACAGTAAGCCACCCTCATTATCCGCTCTTGATACATCCCTAACTGCAGGCCCCCCAGCTCCAGAAAGGCCCGTCCTCTGCGGTCCAGGAACTGCTAAGCCGATTCTGGAACCTGAGTCCATTAGACCCCACTGCAAGCGCCGGGATGAAGGTGAAATGTGGGGATTCCGGGAAGATGGCCGCCAGATAGGTAGCACACGCCCGCAGCTCCAAGGAGATCAGTGAGTCGGGGTACCAAATTTGTCTGTTTGGTTCCCAAGACCACTCAGAGCATCTCTCGGACCCAGAGGTGGACTCCCATCCATAGCCAGGAGAGACGAGGAGGGAGAGAAAGACAGACTGACAAAGGGAGGAGAGAGACAGGAGATGAGAGACACAAGTGAGGAGAGAGAGAGAGATGAGAGACAGAGAAAGGGAGATACGAGAGAGGAGAGACAGTCTCTCCTCTGTCTCCTCTGTCTCTCTCTCCCTCCTCTCTGTCTCTCCTTTCTCTCTCTGTCTCTCTCTCCCTCCGTCTCCATCTCCTCTCTCGTATCTCCCTTTCTCACACAGTGAGGAGAGACAGAAAGGGAGATATGAGAGGAGAGATGGAGAGAGAGGAGAGGAGAGATGGAGAGAGATGAGAGACACCGAGTGAAGAGAGACAGAGAAAGGGAGATAGGAGAGAGGAGACAGAGATGAGAGACATAGAAAGGGAGATATGAGGAGGGAGAGAGAGACAGAGAAAGGGAGATACGAGAGAGGAGATGGAGACAGGAGGGAGAGACAGTCTCCTCTGTCTCTCTCGTATCTCCCTTCTCTCTGTGTCTCTCTCCCTCCTCTCTGTCTCCATATCTCCTCTCTCGTATGTCCCTTTCTCACAGAGTGAGGAGAGACAGAGAAAGGGAGATAGGAGAGTAGATGAGATACGGGAGAGGAGATGGAGACGGAGGGAGAGAGACAGAGAGGAAGGCTGTCTCTCCTCTCTCGTATTTCTCTTTCTCACAGAGTGAGGAGAGACAGACAAAGGGAGATAGGAGAGAGTGGAGTTGGAGACGGAGAGTAGATGAGATACGAGAGAGGAGATGGAGACGGAGGGAGAGAGACAGAGAGGAGAGA